TTACACTCGAGATGATCGAGAGAAATTTGGTAATATCATACCTTTGAATGTAACATCAATTGGTGAAAAGTGTTTTAATTGGTGCAGCTATTTGAGTAGTATTACGATACCATTAGGTGTTACATCATTTAGCGATTGGTGTTTCAGTGGATGTAGTAGTCTCAGCAGTATGATTATACCATCAAGTGTCACATCAATTGGTTATCAATGTTTCAGTTATTGTAACAGTCTTAAAAGTATTACAATACCACCAAGTGTCACATCAATTGATAATTATTGTTTTTATGGATGTGATAGTCTCAGTAGTGTTACTATACCATCAACTGTGTCATCAATTGGTAATCATTGTTTTTGTTTTTGCAGTAGTTTAAGCAGCGTTACAATACCTTCAAGTGTCACATCCATTAAAGATAGCTGTTTTTATAAATGCGATAGTCTTAAAAGTATTACAATACCATTAAATGTGAAATCAATTGATTATAAATGTTTCAGTAAATGTAGTAGTCTCAGCATTGTTTTTATACCTTCGAGTGTGAAATCAATTGGTGCTTTTTGTTTCAGTTATTGTAGTAAGCTAAGCAGTGTTGTTATACCATCGAATGTCACATCAATCGGTGATTATTGTTTTTATGAATGTAATAATCTTAGCAGTGTTACAATATCATCTAATGTGACATTATTTGGTAGTTATTGTTTCCCATCAAATACAATTGTTCAACATTGTTATTGAAATGACTTAGTTGTTACTTATTTGTTTTTTGAAACAAATAACCCAACAATTCATTAAACAATTTCTTATTGTTATCATTATCAATACTTATGATGTAAAAATAAGTATTTTTACAACATAAGATTAAAAAAATACTTATTTTAAAAACGGGTTTAAATAAACAACTTTTAAACAAAAAAACATAAAATGATTAGTAACAGAGTGTTTTTTGTAAATATTTGCTCATTAAATCAGTTGAATGTATAGTAATAACAAATTAATAACAATAACTATCATATTTTTTAATTGTTACATATAATTTAGTATTAAACAATTAATATGTATATTTTAACATACAAATGATTATTATACATTATTAACTACTTTATTTAGTTGTTCATTTTGTCTTATTTTCAAATAATAATTTTAAATGATACTATTTTATTATTTCGTATTTATTATTGTTTTCAATATAGATTTATCATTAAATTAATTTTATAATGTTAAAAACCAATTTATTTTCCAAATATAGTAAAGGAATAAATAATGATTTTCACAAGAAAAAACACATTATAGAAAGAAAAACCCAATTATGTTTTACTCATATAACATTTAAAGAGTCTTCATAGCGCCGAGCAGTCATTATTAATGAACCACATCTTTGCTTTAGTATTACCAAGTTTTATCCAAACCAATATTAAATAGCTGTCAATTTTAATTGTTTTAAAATTATTAGTCAAATAGTCAAAAACTTATTTATGTTATTTGTTGTATTATTAGTTATATCGGTTTTTATCATAATTATATTATTTTTGTATTTTTTATTTTTTGTGTTGGGAAATTATTTTAACATTTTCATTAGTTACAACTTTTGGAAAATAAAATTATTACAGATTGACTATACCACATACAGATATGGTACAAAGGTTTACCAAAAATAACAACTGAACAATTTCGATACCATCGTTAAAAGTGAAATATATAAAGTCGTATTTGACCATTTTAAAATAAATACATGAAAATTTGTTTATTTTCATTTAATTAGTATTTAAATAGTGAATGAAAACTTTATACTTGTCTGAACTTTAATTTTTTCTTTATACACATTTTTAAAAATGAAAAAATACAAGAGATTATTTCAATTTATTATATCGTTTACAACAGAGCAAATTATTATGTTTATAAATACAAACATATTAAAAACAACATGAAATATTTTATACATAATTTTACTTAACTAAACAACGACACATGTTTTGTTATATTTGTCATCAACTTGTTTTTGTTTGTATTTAGTTCGTACAATATCATTTACCACTTCGATAAAAATTTCATTGATATTTATTTTATTTTTTGCAGATGTTTCATAAAAAGAAACTCTCCACTCTTCAGCAAGTTTTTCACCTTCTTCAATAGACACAGTTCTTACACTCTCTAAATCACTTTTATTACCACACAAAACGATTGGAATGTGTTCAATATATGCTTTCTGTTGTGTTGTGTATATTTTCTTTCTGAAATAATCAAGTTCGTCAAATGAAACCCTATCTGTGATCGAGTATACAACTAAAAACCCATCAGCGTTACGTGTGTAAACGTCACGAATAGTGGAATATTCTTCCGAGCCGGCTGTGTCTAATATATCTAAAACATAGGATTTGCCATCAACTTTCATTGTGACAAAATAGCTGTCTTCTATGGTTGGGTCGTAAGTTTGAACAAAAAAATCGGACACCAACCGGACGGTAATAGAAGACTTACCGACAGAGCCAAATCCAAAAACAACAATTTTGGTTTTCTTTGTTTCTTTTTTATACATTAATTATATAGATTTTATTGTTTCATGTTATTTAAACTTCACTCTTTTAATTGTTTTTAAAACTTGATTTATATAAAACAATGAACCATTTATTAATTAATAAGTTAATTATAGAATAGGTGGTGTTGAGTGAAAACAAACAATTAAATTATCACATCATGGTCTTAAAACAAAATTATAATTGTGCTACAATATGAAGAATATTTTGTCTTGCAGGTTATAATTTGTTTACACCTATGAATGGTAAAATTTTAAATATTTTATTATAAAGTGACTTCCCCAAGGTGTGCAAGTTAAAATTATTAGTCTTTTTTACAGGGAAAGGGCGTGCAAGACTAAATTTTAGTTCAAAAACATTTTATTAAAAAAATGTTATTCGTTTCCAAATTGTTTCAAAAAACACACAACCCTTTAATGCTTGAATTAATAAACTACAAAAAGCAAATTAAATTATAAAAATTGGGTAATGGTTTGTCTATGTGTTTAATGTAAAAACTGTTTTGTTTCAAGAACGTGAATAACTGTCGATGTCTCTTGTGTCAGCGTAATTCAAAGCGACAAGAAGAAGTATGATAAACATTATGTTTTTCTCTGTGCCATTTTATAGCAAACAATAACAAATAGTCTGTTTAATAGGTGCAGTTCATTGTTACAAATCGATGTGTACTGTTGTCCAGAACTGGTACTTCGATAATTTCCATTGGGTCGCTTTCCCGAAATTGTTGCATAATTTATTGTATTCGAAGTGTGAAAGTTAAAAATTGCAACGTCACAAGGTGTGCAAGTTAAAGTATAATTTAGTAATAACTTCGAAATTATAATTAATAATTAAACTAAAAATAATCTTTTTTTTTCAAAATTTCAAAAAATTAATGATTCTATTTTTTTAATAAAAAAATTATAAATGAACTATACCTTAACTTGCACACCTTTAAACTAACTTGCACACCTTGGGAAGTCACTTTACTCAAATATTTATCATTTTTTTTAAATGTGACTTAATTTTTTATTTTTTAATATTTATTTGTAAAATAATGAAAGGAAATTTGGTGTTGAATAAACAACAAATCAAAAAATTGGGAGAGACTGTTTGAAAATATATTCAAGGTGGTTTGACATTAACAGGATTATTTTTAGAGAGAGGTAAATTGAGTCGATTTGTAAAACAGATACAGAAATGTAAATAATGTATTATCAATTCCAGTTTTATTTAATAATAATGAATATCATAATACTTATAATATCAAACATTAAAATTGGTGTTTGTAAATAACTTTTAAAATTGCTGATTTGTTAATATTTTAAATAATAAATATGTTGAAGATAATACTTACATAATTATTATTATATTATTATTGTAAAATAGTTGTTTAAGATCATCACTGTTAAATAATTGTGACATCAATATCATTAAAATTTATATACTTTATTATTATATTGTATATTTATCAACAATATTTGAAAAAGTGAATATTATGTATAAACACATGTTATTTTAAGCAGGGTCGGCCAAACGATAGTGTTATTGAAAAAAAACTGATAAATATGTTAAATAACATTGATTTTTTATATTAACACTTAAATAAACAGAAGAGTAAAAATGTGCATTACCTATACACAGGGTTTTGATGATAAAAAATAAATAATTAATTTTTATTTTTTTATTATCTTTATAATTAAAAGTTATACTATAACTTATATGATAGGTAATATTATATAAACAAACTACAAATAAATATAAAATCGATAAAATGTGAATCTTATCCATATATAAAACGATTTTACTATTTTTATTTATTTATCTTTTGCAAAAAAACGAGAACTTTAAAAATAAACGAGTTCTGATGGCTTTCGATGAAAGTGAACAAATCCAAGAAATGACAGAAGGAATGTATTATGCTATTGAAAGACGATTGTTTACAAACGAAGATGTTGTAGACACGTGTAATTACCAAAACGATAATACGGAAACTTTAACTAAAGAGGATGAAAGCGAGTATTCATCAAGTTAAAATATTTCTGAAACAAACAAACTTGGAAAAGAAGAGCCTCCCGACTTGACACCAGAAGAAACTGTTACAATAGCAAAAGAAAGACTGGAACAAAAATTAAAAACAAAGCAATACAACAGACATCGGAATAGAAACGTAGAGTTGAAAGAGTTTACTCAAAATTATGAAAAAACGTGTGGGTGTAAAGAAAAGGGATTACTATGGAAATCTCAATGCCAATTAAAAAGTGAAGACGTGAAGTTCCATGAAGAAGGTTTTGAAGTTACGGGTATCACCGAGTGTGATTCAGAGTCAAGTGTATTTTTCAAATTGATGGATTCCCAAATGTTAGAATGGATTCTTAAATGTTCGAACCAGAAAATACCAGTTGAAAAAACAATCCAGGAATTCTCTCAATATATATTTGACTTCAATAAAGTACTGGCTCCAATCGACACCTTTGAATTTGTTTTAACTAACAATGAAGTTAACAATCACTTTGGATTTGAGGATTTTACCAATTCTTTTTGGAAAAACAAAAGTTTCATTTCAGAATGGATGAACAAACGCGTTGATTTGTGCGAGATTTACACATGACTGAAATATTTAAACGTGTTGTGTCAAATAAAACACTTTGACAATCTTACTTTATCGGATAGATACAACAACTTGACAGCTCTAAAGAAATTAAATATTTGTACAACTGAATCAATTATTCTTAACATAGAAAAACTCTCTTGTTTAAATTCGCTTGTTTTAATTGACAATACTCCTCAAAGAAACACAAACATAATGCCTTTCACACTTGATGAAATTAAAGCTTTTGTAGGTCTTGTAGTCAAATTTTCTCTTTCACCAAACAAGAGTTTTATTGAATTGTACAAAAAGAATGATGAAATAAGATAAGTACTACCACAACTTCGTTTTAACATTTAAAAGGTATACATAATGCGTTTTTGGGAAATGATGTTAAAAAATAACAAAACCATTCAAAAATATAATGTTATAATAATTTAAATAAAATAGTAAAAAACTATAATATTAAACTAGTCTTAGCTTAAAAAATTGATGTTCTTTAAAACACTGGAAGTTAATTTGGACGATAATAATGCGAGAATAAAAGAACATTTGATAAAAACAACGAATTGCCAACTAAACTGTTTTTCAAAACTCTGTACTAGGACGTCCCAATTTTTTAGACAAATAATTTCTAAATAATTTTTCCTTTGCTTAACCCTCATTTTTTGTTATAAACATTTATTCGAAAAAAACAAAATAACGAACATGATTTTTTTTTAATTTTACTTGACAAAAAAATTTTGCATGAAAAATTTACTTGAAAAATATATAAAACAAACTTGGGATTAAATTTTTGATTACCATAACACAAATTTTGCCAAAAAACGTAAAACACAACTTCATAATTCAATGTCTATGTTTACAGTATCACCAAGTTGTGTTTTGGATAAAAATGAAAAGTACTAACGAGTAAAACAAGCATTGAGAGAAAATAAATAGGTTAAGATGATACAATTGAAAAGTTTTTTTTATTTTTAACTGTTTATTTTATTTAAGACTCTTTTGATTAATAACCTTGATTATTTAAATGTTTGTTTTATGTTATCGATTACTTTTTTAATTGTTAAAATAATAAAAACTGATTGTTAGTAAAAGTGTTGTATTATTTGATGCAATAATGTCCTTCATCACATCATTTGTTTATTGTTATATTATTGTTTATCTTGTGTTTGTTAGAAATATGTTGTTTTACTGACGTTTAGTCACAAAATAAACCACTGACCAAATAACAAACCTAGAAAATCGGGAAAGATTTGCCTAAAATTTGGGTATTTTCCCGATTTTTTGTTCGATAATTGAAACTGTATTGATTTTTAAGGGTTTTAAACCGTGTACCGTTGTTGGTCCAACAAACAGAAAAATAAAAAATAAAACAACCAAAAATGGTAAATAATGGGAAATTAGGACAAAAAGTTTTTATAAATTTTGGAAACGGTACAAAGTTTATAAATACAGTTTACAATTATTCAAAAAAACAACTTCAAATATCGAAAACAAAACGGAAGCCCGAGTAGAGGTCGTCTCTTAGAAACAATAAAGGCTCTTCTTGAACCGTTCAAAGATGGTCATCACATTATTTTTTCTTGATAGTCTCTATACAACTTATGAAATTCTTTAATATATCCAATCTACAGGAAATTACTAAACTGTTTTTCAAAAGTCGGTACTTTACCAATTATTAGTGGAAACCCTTTTATAATAAATTCCCGTTTTTTAAAGTTTTTTTGTTGTTTTCATTTATTATTTCCATTTAAAAAAAGAAAAAAACGGTACCGACTTTTTAACCCTCAAAACCAATACAGTTATAAGTTTCAATTAAAATTTCGGGATTTCAACGAAAAATTAGAACAAACTTGTCCGATTTTTTGAGATTGTTATTCAGTCTTTTTCACTGTTGAGATTCTCAAAAAATCGGCATTTTTGCCTTTTGGTAATGGACGAGTAGTTTGAATGGGTGAGATAACCGTATCTTACCTCTCACATTACGACTCTCCCCCACTTTTGAAAATAGGCGATGATGTTGTTTTAACTTGTTGTTATTTCATAATAGTCTTTTAAAAAACAAACTTTGAAACACCACACATTTTGTATAGTCGTTTTTTTTCAATAATCTTTTCTTTGTGTTGTAAGTGTTAATGAAATTAAAAGATTTTTATTATTTGTTGGTTCATTAACATTTTCTTCTTAAAAGAGAAAAAGTCGGTTTTACTCACGGCAAAAACAACCATATGGTCAAGCAAAATTTTTGAAGAAGTAAGTTATTTGATATTTTCCCTGTTATTTTTTATTTAATTTTTTAGCTTGGTCTAAATTCAAGGTTCAGTCAAGTTTGTTTTTTGAAAAATAAGAGGGAAAAAATAAGCAAAAAAACGATGTCAAACAAAATCAAAAATATTTAGAATCATTTACTTTAAAAAGTCGGGTCCTTTCGGTACCGACTTTTGAAAAACAGTTTAGTTGGTTCTCAACAGCCAAAACCAAATACCTTTCGTCCCAAAGAAATTGCCGCCCTTTTCTTCAAAACACTGATGAACCAGATAAAAATGGAAATGCCTGATCTTGTAAGACCTAATATGTTCGTTGGTGTTCCCGTAAAGATGACTGCGGAAGCTGTTCAAGAATTGACCGAGGCTGCCAAGTTGGGTGGTTTTGAAACTGTTGATATCATCACTGAGCCAATAGCAACAGTTCTCTATTATTTGGATGCAAACAAGGAATCAGCA